ATTACTTGAAGGCCCAATACTGGATCAGATCCTTTCTCGTCTGTTGCTCCGAGGTAGAGAAGCCGATTCTTACAAAGAGGGATCAGTTCCGCTTGAAGTCCGGCATCAAGAGTGGCCCGAAAATGGGCCGCAAGGGCCACAGGGGAAAGCGAGCTGGCGGCAAAGCGAAAGGACCGTCCAAGCGAAGGCGAGGTGTGCTGAGAGCCTCGTCTCGCCGGAGTTTGGGCGATGAGGCCGAGAATGATGATGAGCTGGTGGAGGAGGCTTCGATGAAGGCCTCTCCGAAGGCCAAAGCGAAAGCCAAGGCCAAGTCGAAGGCCTCACCGAAGGCTAAATCGAAGGCCAAGGCCAAGGCCTCACCGAAGGCCGCAGCGAAAGCAAAGGCCAAGGCGAAGGCCTCACCGAAGGCCTCGCCGAAGGCCAAAGTGAAGGCCAAGGCGAAGGCCTCACCGAAGGCCTCGACCGGGGCGGATGACACGACATCGCCGAAGGAGAAGACTACGAAGAGGGGGCGAAGGGCACCTCCTCCCGAGGATGCCTCAGTCATGAGCTTGGAAGATGGCTTGTGGTGGTACTTGTCGGCCGAGACCGAGGATGACCTCAAGCAGCAGCTCCTGCCGCTTATGCACAAGTACCACGAGAAAAAGCTGTGCCCCGAGTTCAAGAAGGAGCTCAAGGCTGCAACGACTGAGAGCGAGAACTTCGCCTTCACGATGTACTGGACCCGCCCAGCGGTTGGTGTCCAGCACAAGGAGAGTGGTATTGAGATCGGGCAGATTTCGACAGCCCCCAAGGCCCAAGGATCATGGGCTACCAAGATGGTGGCTGTGACCGACGGTGCGGCGATGCTCGGATCCTTCATCGAGGGCTTGCTGGGTGACGGCTACATCGAGAACAACCCCGAGGCCATGACCCAGAGCTACGACATTTATCGGATGAAAGAGTACATCAAAGCGGCCGTGCACTCTGCACTCGAAGAGTTCGCAGAGCTGTGAGACATGATTTTGAGATTGCCCGGG